TACAGTTAATGAAGGTTACTAAAAACCTACTACTAATTTTCCGACTACAGTTGAATAAGGTTACTAAAAACCTACTACTAATTTTCCGACTACAGTTGAAGAAGGTTACTAAAAAACCTACTACCAATTTTCCGACTACAATGGAAGAAGGTTACTAAAAACCTATTACCAATTTTCCGACTACAGTTGAAGAAGGTTACTAAAAACCTACTACCAATTTTCCGACTACAGTTGACGAAGGTTACTAAAAACCTACTACAGTTGATGAATGTTACTAAAAACCTAATACCAATTTTCCGACTACAGTTAATGAAGGTTACTAAAAACCTACTATCAATTTTCCGACTACAGTTAATGAAGGTTACTAAAAACCAACTACTAATTTTCCGACCATAGTTGAAGAAGGTTACTAAAAAAACTATTATCAATTTTCCGACTACAGTTGAAAAAGGTTACTAAAAACCTACTACCAATTTTCCGACCATAGTTGAAGAAGGTTATTAAAAAAACCTATTACCAATTTTCCGACTACAGTTGAAGAAGGTTACTAAAAACCTACTACCAATTTTCCGACTACAGTTAATGACGGTTACTAAAACCTACTACCAATTTTCCGACTACAGTTGAATAAGGTTACTAAAAACCTACTATCAATTTTCCGACTACAGTTGACGAAGGTTAATAAAAACCTACTGCCAATTTTCCGACTACAGTTGAAGAAGGTTACTAAAAACCTATTATCAATTTTCCGACTACAAAGGGAGCTCGATTTTCTACAATTCATTTCGTTTTATTTGTTGTTAAACGCAAAGCTTCAAAATTGGTTATCTATGCTGTGCTCATCGCAAGAATCTAACTTCAAATTATAGCGCAATAATCACTCAAGCTTACCGCTGAATCATTAAGGAGCCAATAGATATTTAGGTCCCATAAAATCATATTAGTTATGATTATGGGTAACTAACTCATGGGCTTTTATTGTGGTATTAATTATTTTAAGTAAAAACCCAACTTAAGATATTAAAATAAAAATTTGCTATCAATATTGGGGTATCAAAAAAATGATTAACTTTGTTTTAATAACAAAACTAGTTTAATACCGGTAATATGAGCTATGCGGTTCTCGTCAACTGTGACTAACCTCATAAAGTTACCTATAACAAAACCAGTTTAAAACCGGTGATACGGCCCTCAATGGCACAGCGGTATATCTGAGGATTTACAACGCTAGAATCTGGGTTTCGATACCCGTGGTGGGAAAGAGCACAGATGACCCATTGTGCAACTTTGTGCTTAATTACAAACAAACTGATGATATAAGCTATGCTGTTCTCGTCAACCAGGACTAAACTCAGACGGTTACCTACGTAGGAACAGAATCTTAACCGGCGTAAAAAAAAAAAAATCGTGTTCGTTTACTTCTCTCCCATTTAGTACAAATAATGTTCCAAAAATATTTTATTGATCAGCATTGATCACCAATTAATTCAATATCTTAGAAGAATTACAGTTTCCTGCGCTAAAAATTCGTTGTATTATTTTATCAGAATAAATGATGTTCATTATATAGCTTTTATAATATAACTTTGCTTTACCAGATACAAGTTTTTATTGTTATTTTTCTTATTTAGAATTCAAAATTGTGATCTGAGCCACATCTGAAAAAGGAACTGTAACTTTTCAGTTAATTCATTTTTATTTCAACTAGCTCTTTCTAAATAGGCTACATTTTATATAAGTTTGCTTATGCTAAAGTTCGGTACCATTTGTTATTAATTATGAGTTTAGTCCAAGCATTGATTTTACCTTATCGTTTATGTGTCATTTCTCAATATTTTTTTTCTTCAGGAATATAAACTATACAGTAAGAGTTTACATTTTCTGTGTGTTCTGACACAAGACATTAATTCAATTTATTTTATATACACAGCATCTGTGGCTCTAAGTTAAATTTTCGAGGCCTAGATAAAATACAAACCCTCATAAAACATTTAATTCATGTAAGTGTTTTTACTTTAAATCAAACTAAGATATTTTTTCTTTTAATAAAAATATGATACAAAAAGCGGATTGTTGTTTTTTGAAATAATATTGTTTTAATATTGCTATTTCTTGCATCTTGAATATAATAACAATATTTGCTACAAGTTGTCACTGTCCATACGTACCCCTTGTTTACACTACAAGTTGTTACTACCCATACGTCCTCTTTGTTAACACTAAAAAGTTGTTACTGTACATACGTCTTCCTTGTTAACACTACAAGTTGTTATTGTACATACGTCTTCCTTGTTAACACTACAAGTTGTTATTGTCCATGCGTCTTTCCTGTTAACACTACAAGTTGTTACTGTCCATACGTCCCCTTGTTAACTCTACAAGTTGTTACTGTCCATACGTGCTCTTTGTTAACACTACAAGTTGTTACTGTCCATACGTTTCCTTGTTAACACTACAAGTTGTTACTGTTCATACGTCTTCCTTGTTAACACTACAAGTTGTTACTGTCCATACGTTCCCCTTTGTTAACACCACAAGTTGTTACTGTCCATACGTTTTCCTTGTTAACACTACAAGTTGTTACTGTCCATACGTTCCCCTTTGTTAACACCACAAGTTGTTACTGTCCATACGTTTTCCTTGTTAACACTACAAGTTGTAGTTTTTCACTAATACATTTATTGAACCTCACCATAAATTCGAAAAAAAGAAAAAGATATCCTATCGTTTTCGTTTATTTATTTTTCTCCAAACTTGTAGTCCTTCGGAGGATCAGTGGTAAGTTTATGGATTCACAACACTAAAATCCGGAATTCGATTTCCCGCTGTGGACGGGTGCAGATAAATCATTGTGTAGCTTTGAAGAACCAGAATCAAAAATCCAGTTAAGCCTAATGTATTACCTGCTATTTGATACATTATTACTAACTTATTCATACCGAATTTTCCAGTTACCACTATCCCTTAACGCACCTACGGCTTGTTCATTTATAATCACTTCTTCTAAATATTTATTTGAAATATCCTTTCTTCATCACAACAAAGTGCATTCTCTTTTATTGCTACAATTTTCTCATTCTGCCTAAAGAATTTAACCTAACTTATTCATATAGAAAACATTTTTACAGGGGTTTGGATTTGTTTCCTTACTAAAAAAATCCATCTGCGAAAAGTTTATGCTTATAGTTTTCGGTGAACGCTGATCCAGTTCCATCTGTTTGTGGTAAGTAGTTCTATTAGCTTCTTTTTCACATACTTTCGAACTCGTCACTACATATTCATCCGCCAACGTCACTGTCTCAAGTGCGTTTTCTGGCTTCTTTTCTTTTAGCGATAAAACCAACTGCATTGGTAGTTTAATCAAAATTTGCTCTTGCAACATCAGATCTACATCAGTACATTTAGGATCTTCAATCTATTTAACTAGCAACTCATGTAACCTTCTTTCGAAATCTTTAGATATCTCATTCACCATTTTTAGCATGATATCTATATGCATAAAATCATTAATTTGGTCCACTAACATGATAGCTATATGCATTTAATGATTTATGTGGTTCACTAGACAAATCACTGAGGCGGTAAACTGTGCAGAAAGAACTTTCCCTTGGAGGTCCCATAATCACTTACAGGAATCTACGTCGAGAGATATAGATAGTCATTGTTAAATAGTTTATTGTGTATGATAGACAGTGGTAGTTTAGCTTTCATTAGCAGGTTATGAATACTGGTGTTTAATGTATGTGAGTGGTTTATTATATCTATAATCATTACTCGCTAGTTACTAGCTACTATGATGGTAACTGGTCTCTATTCCTTATAACTATTGCACTGAAGATGTCTTTAAGGAGATGGCCAAAAGAGTTATTATCGTTTTTTTTTATTTGTAATTAATTGGATTTGTATTTATTCCATTATACTTGATTGTGTAACACTTAGTGTGGTTTTGAGAGCTGTTCAACTTGTCTTTCCCGTTAAATAAATGTGGGTAACATGTAGTGTGATTTTGAGAACTGTTCAACTTGTCTTACCCGTTAAATAAATGTGGGTAACATGTAGTGTGATTTTGAGAACTGTTCAACTTGTCTTTTCCTTTAAATAAATATGGGTAACATGTACTGTGGTTTCGAGAATAGTTCAACTTGTCTTTCCCGTTAAACACATGTGGGTAAATGTAGTGTGTTTTTGAGAACTGTTTAACTTATGTTTCCCGATAAATAAATGTGGGCAACATGTAGTGGGGTTTTGAGAACTGTTCAACTTGTCTATCCCGTTAAACACATGTGGGTAACATGTAGTATTGTTTTGAGAATAGTTTAACTTGTCTTTCCCGTTAAAAAAATGTGGTAACATGTAGTGTAGTTTTGAGAACTGTTCAGCTTGTCTTTCCCGTTAAACACATGTGGGTAACATGTACTGTGGTTTCGAGAATAGTTCAACTTGTCTTCCCCGTTAACTAACTCTGGGTAACACGTAGTGCGATTTTGAAAACTGTTCAACTTGTCTTTGTCGTTAAATATATGTGTGTAATATGTAGTGTGGTTTTGAGAATAGTTCAACTTGTCTTTCCCGTTAAATAAATGTGGGTAACATGTAGTGTGGTTTTGAGAACTGTTCAATTTATGTTTCCCGTTAAATAAATGTCAGTATTGTGCTTTGCCTGATAACGTTTCGTTATATTTATGTTTTGTGCATTAGATATCGGTGAGCTTGGTGATGTAATTACTGCCATATCACTGTGATGTAATGCTTCACGTCTCAGTGGGTTTGTTGTGAATCCTAATATTGGAGGTAGTAGAAAAATCACTGGCTTGTGATTGGCTCCTCGGACCCAGGAGAGCAAAAGAAATGGTGACGTCCTATATTGATCGTGATTTCCAACTTCTTTAATAATTAATGCATATACGATTGCTATATATCTTTTTTTTTAATATTAAATAAATAATTATCTATACCATACTTCTAATGACTGTATCTGTCAGTTATAACTTATGCAGAAGAACTGGTAGTTGTACGGATTATTAAGTGCTCTGTCTTCTAACTTTACTGGGTACATGGAAAGTGCTTCTTTGAAATTGTTTTCATGTGACTAGAATATTCTGCCGTGTGGAATAAGCCTGATAATCAAGCGATGTTCTGAGCCTGATAATGAAACGATGTTCTGGGCCTAATAAAGAAATAATGTTTTGAGCCTGATAAAGAAACAGTGTTCTGCGCCTAATTAGCTTTGCTTAAGTCACCCATTTTGCTGCTGTAGTAGTGTGTGTAATGTGTCATGGTCTTTGTTAGAGAGCAAGAGATTGAACTTAGTAGGAAAGGAGAACTTTTTATTTTGTATGAGTTAAACCCTTTGCTCCTCTATACTTGTTTCAAGTTATAAGTCAAACAGTCCAACGTGTTTTCTGATTACGTCAGTTGCATCATTATATACACACACAGCCTGGTCACAAGTAAATAGACACCACCTTTTCAGAAAAAATGAAAATTTTCAGTCATATTCACAT